CACTACTACTACTACTACCAGTGCTACTACTACTACTACTACTACTACTACTACTACTTCCACTGCTGCCACCAAAAATACTGCCATTATTATTCCAGTATTTAAATTTGGCTGTCGTTCTGATGCTCAAGTGCTACCACTACCGCCGCTACTACTGTTGTTACCATTATTATCCTTATTACTATTATTATTATTATTATTGTTATATACGAATAATTTGCTATTTATCCGCCCGAACGGACGCGTTTGCGTTCCTTATAAGAGAGCATCTGCCAGATCAGTTTTATATCAACTTCGAAAGCCTCACCTGACTGACTCACTCGGTACTTATTACGTTAGTATCATCTGACAAAACCATTCAGAGGCCAATAGCTGACTCGAAGCCGTGAATGCGAATAAATCCGCCTCTCTGAAGATGCAGATGCGATTACTGGAATAAGATGCCTATTAACTTGACGTTTTGATTCCTTCCTCGATGTCCTCAGTTACCTCAAAGATTGTGGCCACCCAGAAACTAATGTTTTCAAGAGAGCGACTAACGTGACGGAGCTTAAACAGTAGCTACTCAATAAGCCGGAAACGCGGTTACGTTAGGGCATTATATCGGCTTGTTGAGATGCACTACAGTGAACCAAAGGACAATGTTACCGAATTGCAATACCTTCTACGAGTGCTTAGAGCGAATGGCTGCTTCCTCAACTTCGTCGACCGGTGCGGGCTTGAACGTGGCGAGAGATCCAATCCAACCGACCGCAAATTTTGGCGAGCGCCCTCCCACGTGAAGAGCGTCTCGGGAGCTGTCAGCTGCCTTCCCACACTCCGTGGAGTTAGGGTTGCACACAAACCTGACTCGAAAGGCTGAAAAACTGACTCCCGCGGCAGTAGACTTCTTAAGTCGTTTAGCTGATCTGGCACAATTGCGGACAAAACAACTGGGAGGTTACTCCTGGACGCGAATAGCCGAACATGCGGCAGCAGTGAGGACGCTGGTTTTCAAGCTACGGCTTTTTCGACAGGACCCTTCAAGTTTAACAAGGCCGACATTTTCGCGAGAGGTAACAACTGCTTAAGCTGTGAACCGATTGAGTCTCATTCTCCGGTCCGCGGTCGACCAACAAGCCCAGTGACCTGCCGTCTCCATATTTTGTGCTGAGACTTTGCCGGGCAAAATAATTAGTCACATGGGGAGGACGCGAAGGACAGTGACAGCTAACCAAATTGCCGAACAATCATCTCTCCGAGAATCAGCAATGCTGATAAAATTACTTCCGTTAGCGACTGGGCTGCGGACTAGCAAGCAAACATCGCATGAAATAGGACTTCTAGTGGTGAAGGCGGGTAATGCTAGTCACATTGGGCATGCGATTGCACGACAACTATGTCCGATAAATAGCGTCCTCCTTGTGCATCTACTACCCTAGTCTGCGACAGTCTCTGATGATGGGTTCGTGTGAGAATTCGAAACATCAGGCCAATACACTTTTTGGTCCTGCGATCGCATCTTCCGGGCAGCCTCCTCGCAACTCGGCTGTTCACTTTTACCAAGAGATTTGCCTCTGCTCATCAAGAAAAAAATCTGATAAGCGTCAACTTCTTGGCTGGCCTCCTGCTCTGTTTAACCGCCCAGCCGGTTGTCACGTTGGCTGGCGAAACAAAATACTGAACATAATACTTCATTTCCACACACCTAACAGCCGGATGACTGTAACGGCGGATATATACAGGTTCAATGCTGCAGCTCGCAGTCGGTACGGATTCGCATTTTTCCTCTGAATGGACGTCGTTCTTTTTTTCACTGTCTTTTACTTATCCGTTATTCGCTGTCTTGTCCCTTTTCACCCCCTACCACTAGCTAATCAATGTGGAGCTTAGACGAATGCGTGGCTTCGAGTGCATCAAGGGCACCGTGACGGAATTAATTGTACACCACAGTTTGAAAAATCTGCGTGTAAGTGACCCTCCGCGAACATTTATTTGTCTTTTCACTGTTTATCTTCCCACCGGACGGTCGTGCAGACTTTTCATGCTGCCAGTCCGGGCGACGATCTGATAGTTTTAGTTTTTCTCTGACGATGGGGACACTGTAGGACTTCTGACTAGCAATCAGCTGACGCCGCCTACGGCACCCAACATGTCTTTCTTTCTCTTTGCCTCCTCTCCCCCCCCTTTTCTTTTGTCCGCATGCCTGCCTGGGCGTAGGTTGATGTACAGTAGGTGGGCTAACTCATGAAATCTCAACAGAAATTCCGAAATGCGTTTTCGTTTCGAAAAGATTAATTAAGCAGGGTTCTAAAACCAATCATAATGCGGGATAATTCTATAATATTTCAGATTCCTCAGGATGCCAGCTTTCAAATGAACGTCCTTCCAGCTGCATCTATAAACCATACTCCGTGAAAATGACTACTTAAGTAGCATGCACTTTTTCATCGATTTTCAATGTCCTAAAAGATTTAATTAGATCTCATGGAAAACATGCGTAAACTGTTCATTCTCTTGCTCATTCGGTAGGAAATTACGTCTTCTCTGAATTCTATACTCGAAGGAACGGTAAAATTCGGTTTTAAAAAGTTTCCAATTGTGATACTTTTAAATACCGCGAAATGGCCGTTTATAAATCGCCATATCTCTGCATTTACCAATGTGGCTTGTAAAGTTAACAATGTGGCTCAAACCCACTACTGAATTTTATGAACCGTATATGGTCCCCCTTTATTACTGTAGAGAAATGTATGGTTTTCCGTACGCGGAAAATACATGGCTTGCAGATTGGAAACCCTGAATGCGCGTGTAACGGCAGGTCGGGTTCGGGAATAGGAAAAGTTTTATAAAACCAAATTATAGTCTTCCTTCGAGCATAACATTGAAATAAGACGAAATTTTCTACTGAATGAGCAAAATAATGAACATTTTTATGCGTGTTTTCCATGAGATCTAATTAAATCTTTAAGGACATTGAAAGTTAATGAAAAAATGCATGCTACTTAAGTAGGCATTTTTCACGGAGTATGGTTTTTGGATGCAGCCGGCGTCCTGGGGTAACGGAATTATTATAGAATCATGCTGCACGATGATTGGTCTTACAACCCTGTTTAATTAATCTTTTTGAAAGGAAAACGCATCTCCAAATTCTGGCTCTCCCGACATCTTCGGTTGTCGGTAGGCTCTCGAGCGTTGCCGTCGGGTCTGTCCGTTTGGGGGTACTAGCAGCGAACTCTGCTGAGCGCTTATTGATACGGAATGTCCGGTCGGCAGCCTCACACCACTCTGCTTTCCGTTACGTTGATCTAATCTGAAAGGAGGAGTACAGTAATACGCCGTTTCGTTATGAGGTTAGACTTATGAACTGTCGATATCGTCTTGTCCTCACAACTGATGGGGCTTTAACTTCGTGCCTAGTGGTGATTGGCTGTGGCCGATTCCCCTTGGTCGTGTTTGTCATCTGGATGATTTTTCGGAATTACGGTGCACAAAAAGTCCGACGATACAAATCAAACAGGTTTAGGTGGTAATAATCGCCGCGGGTGACTGTGGCCTAGATGAACGTTGGAAACGCTAGGCACGCCCAGGATTGGGTCATTGGTAAACGGTCAGGCGTTGGTAGGCAGACCGGGGTTTGCGGAAAAGTGTTTGCATTTGGCAGTTGTTTCATCGAAGGTGCCGCAACGTCGACGACTTAACTGTCCCACCTAACATCCATCTGATTACAACTGCGTCCCCCCCTTTTTTTGCGGTTGAGAATACGCGGGATTGCCACGAGGATGTGGTTACCTCTGTAGTTGCCTCTGTCATTCCTTTACCATGTCGGCCGGCCGGTGTTGAGATTAGTCCTAGTGGCTGATTCGGCATGAGTTCCCGTGTAGTACATGCTCCCGACACATACATCGATGGTTAAGGACAAGGAAGAGGCGACGAACCATGCCGAATTTATTAACATCATAAGATTTCGTGACCTCTTATTCAACTGCACACGGTCAGAGATCTGCCTAGAGGGATGAGACATGATGGGTAAGTAAAACAGTCATTCTTGGTCTGATATACGGTTGCGCATGGCGAGGGGGAAGGGGGGAGGAAGCTATCTAAGCAGGCAAGTTTATATTACGATGAATACCTGTCAGGCGTGATTAAAAGTCAACACACGCGGCAGCACTCAGTCATGCGGGGAGGGGGAAAGGGGAATGAAGGAACGGGTTTGGGAATGGGGTTATAGGCATTATCGTCCCCTATCCTGGCAGTGCGAGGTTGATCACGTGATCCAGCTGCTTTCAGAGTTATGGACTCCTCCTCCGTATTGCAGCGACATCGGGAAAGCGCAGGAGGTCGCCCGATGTTATACTTAAGAAAGGAGTATAATTAGGTTTTAAAAAAGTTTCAAATTATGACACTTTTTAAGACCGCGAAATGCTCATTCACATAGCATCGTACCTGGCCGTTTACCACTGCTCCTCATGAAATGTACAACATGGTTCGCATCCATTGCAAAATTTTATGGACCCTGTATGAAATCTCCTTAATGACATGGAAAAATATGAGATTTTCTTCACGCGGAACGCATGCACCTTGTAGAGTGTAATCACTATGCGCTAATGCAACGAATGATCAGGCTCAAAATTTTTCGGCAATAAGAAAACTTTCTTAAAACCTAATTATACTCCTTCCTTAAGTATAAAATATAAAGAAGACGTGATTCTCTATTGATTGACTAAAAGAAAGCATATTTTTGTTTATGGTTTGTAAAAAATATATTTGAATTTCCAAGACCATCGAAAATCAATGGGAAAAAAATGCATGCTACTTAAGTAGTCATTTTTTACCAAGTACGCTTTCTGCAGGAGATTGAAGAGAAGTGCATTGAAAAGCCGACATCCTGCCGAGTCCAAAATGTTATAAGAGTATGCCTTAGGATAATCAGCATCACAACCGCGACCAAGTAATCCTTCCTAATCGAAAACGCATTTCAGAATTTTAGCCAACATTTCATGAGATCGGTCACGCACTGTAGGACCTTAAATGCAGTCATTGGGCCCACCGTATAGCCCGTGTCTTCTAGGTGCTTTGTAATTCAGCTCCTGGGTACTCGATTTTCACCCTCAACGGCCACTTCGGCATGTCTTCAGTTGACCTAACTGCCAACTGCCTTTGCGTGCTCCTAGTGTATTTGCTTCCGCAACTGCATGTGAAGTCATAAGTACAGTTTGATGTGGCGCGCATCGGCAGAATGTCTTTGGTTGGTCTTACTGGAATTGCCGTTGTAGTGCTTATGAGCAACAATTTAGAGGTGACGTACGTCCGTTCAATCGTGCACTGAAGTCGGCACTTAATCACATTGAACACATCATCACCCAATTTTTCGGCACGGAAATTTTCACAGGATTCCCGTGTCTGGGATGGGGATACTTATCGACGAACTTCTCCGGATACCCGTTTCTAAGAAAAACGCTCTTTAAGAAACTGAATTTGTCGTCGATCGTATCTGGGGTGTCTCTATTGAGGTGGCACAAAACCAAGTTTCCTTTTCTCTTACTTGGTACGAAATTGAGAAAGTGCATATACTGTCCTCTCCAGGTGGTTTTTCGATAGATGGATCTCTGAATGGAACCATCTGTTCGCCTATGTACGAGTACACCTAAGAAAAGCAGCGTGTCGTTCTTCTCAAGCACGATCGTAAATTTGATGTTTGCATGTGCTTTATTCATGACCTTAAGCAGTAATTCTCCTTCTCTTTTGGGGTTTTTTGACTATGGCAAAAATGTCATCCAGATATCGCCCATAGAATACGGACTGCTCTAAGTTCTGAAATAATTCGCGTTTGAGATTGGACCTTAGCTTGTGTTGTCGCCTTTTCCTTGTTCAAATTTCTTCTGAGGGCTATAAGGAGTCGTGCAGACCAAACGCGCACTCACGCCGTAAACCAGCCTGGCTGCCGTTTTGTCCCAGTGCAGATCGTCTTTGGCGGTATCGATCCAGAAAAGCATGTGTATTGTTGTAAACTGAAGTGTTCTGGGCTTTTTGTTGTGTATGTGAGAGGAGGCGAGGCGAGGGGGGGGGAGTAGGCGCGCAAACGTGCCCGTTAAGAGCATCTTGTACTTTGCCTCAGCGCTGCCTGGAAAGACGCAAGGAGCGCCTGCCTATTCATTTGTTTCTCAATCTTAACTCGCACGAGCGGGAATGCAGGGCTGTGTAGGCTGCATCTCCCCCCCCCCCCACCTCCCTCAGGCTGACGTGATGTACTTCTTTCACCATAACAGTCGAAACACACGTTGGGCTAACTGGCATGCCCCGAGTCTTGTACACGGCCGCGTTACTAAGTAGGCAGGCCAGCCAGTACGACAGTTACTCGCAGAAGTACGCAGAGATCGTATAAGTATGAGGGGGGAGGTGATGGAAGGAGTAAGTTTTGGTATTACCGACAAAGACAAGGGAGACTGAAATGAGCACTTCTGGCTTATTAGCCGTTGTCAGCCAGTCAGACCCAGCCTCGAAGTGTGGCAAACCCGAGGCTCGAACTCGCCACCTGTTAGTTAGAAGTGCACGCCTCTAACCACTGGGCCACAAGCTCGTTGCCCTGCCGGTTTTCGATCGGGAATATGCACTGGTAGCGGGCGCTCACCGATCGTTCTTACGGAACTTACTCATTCCGTTGTGCCTTACGGGCTCTCTCTTGAGCCCAACCAGCAGCTCGTGATATAGGCAGTATGTTATTACCGACAATAACGAGGGAGACTGAAATGGCCATTCCTGGCTTATTATTCGTCGTCAGTCAGTCATACCCAACCCCGAATTGTGCAGCGCCTGGAGCTCGAACTCGCGACCTGTTAGTTTGAAGTCCAACGCCTCTAACCACTGAGCCATGGGCTCGTTGTTTTGTCGGTTACGATCGGGACTATACAATGGTAGAGGGGCGCTCACTGATCGCTTTTACGGTCACACTTGTCGATTTTGTGAGAGACAGAGAGCTATGCAGTACATATTGGCGTGCGTTTGCAGCGCTTTGTCTGTGTCCTGGTGTGATCTCTTCGCCCGGGTGATAAAATTCTTTATCCGAGGAGGACTCTCCTTTGTCGACGACGGCAGCTTACTAGCTGAGGCACCAAATGAGTATTGATTTTGTAGCACGTTTAAAATGTTAATTGTTTACTGCACAATTACTCTAGTCTGACGACGACACGGGGAACCGACGTCGAAAATTTACTCAATAAAGTTTTCTCTCTTTCCCAAAGAACGTATTTGATTTCAAATTATATTTCTTGGGATGCCTGCGTTCCAAAGATAAATACCGATATGCGATATATATATATATATATATAGTAGATAAAGTAATTGCTCTATCTCACCGAATGTTGACCGAAACTACGAAGTGTACTTTCGATTCGAAAAGATTACCAAATTAGGCTTGAAATAGCGATTAATACGCTGCTTTCTGAACGAGCAGTACGTACTCACAGTGCGCGCATTTTTTCAATCATGCCCAACCATTTTCAGCCTCGATCGATCGATCTCCCCAGACAACAGGAAATTAGTGATATTAACGGGTAGCAAGAGCATCCGCACAAAGTGACTTGAGACGCAGTCAAACCTTTTCAAAAACATGGAAAATATTAAGCTATAGTTTATTACTCGCGCGCGTCTCCCGCACAGGCATGTCCTGTTCTGCGCAGAGCGACTGTATGGGGTCTTCCACTTCCTGTCCGCACCAAAACAGTTAACAAGATGACAATCCTGGCAACCTGTCCTGTTCATTTGTGCAGAATCTCATGCTTGGAGACTTATACGCAGCTGGTGGAGGAGACTGGGTGTACGGCGAAACTCCGGTCCCAACTCTTCCCTGGAACCAGATCAAGATGGCGGACTTTTCGAACAATTTTCTGCATTCTATTGATCAGACAATCGTGAGTCTCCTCTGCTTGCCGTAAAAGGAAGTTTTCATGCATGTTCTGCGTTTTTTCATCGATCGCCCGAGTTAGTGAAGTGTTTTCAACACCCCTCAGTAACTGTCTCCCGCTTAGAGCTGGGACATACGGTAAAGCAAAGGGCCTATTAGTCGGAACAGCACTTTGTGCAAATCACTCGAAAGTTGTGCATTAAGGGTTATGTCGTAACCACCCATAGCAGATTAGGCAGGCGATTGTTCAAACGAAGGCAAACATGTTCAAATGTCAACCTGTGAGCAGGGAATCGATATTAATTCGGTTCTCAGTCCCGAAGTAGAACACGTCTTCCATTCAGTAACTCGTCATGTTCGATGGCCGTGGCCCTTAAACAAGGTACTTGCGCGGATACCATCTGGTGCAACCAGTCTCCTTTGAAGGAGTGTTCTGGACGCTGGGAGGCCCGAGGTCAATACTTCCTACATCGCACACTACAGTAAATACCACCACCACCACCACCACCACCACCACCACCACCACCACCACCACCACCACCACCACCACCACCACCATTGCATCGCCTTCTACCCACCTACCAATCCTGTTTGAACGTCAAGAGAGTTGCTGCGGGACAAACTTTCCTCTAGTGGGAAGCAATTTATCCCGTCCGAGGGTGACCTAACTTATGAAAACTGTCCAAATTTACGAATGATTGCTAATCACTCGCAAACCGACACGTATGCATGGATTCAATATCTATATTAATAAAGAACTACTTTTAGGAAACTGAAAAAAAAATATTAAAGGTAATATCACGTTGTTTGGGAATGCATCTTTCTACCAGAAAAGCGGAATATTCCAAAAATGCCAAAGTGGTTGAAATTGTGTGTTTATTTTAGCCTTAAAAATAGGATAGTTCTTGAAGGCGTTTACCAGATTAGTGAGTGTTTGTACGTCTTATTCTTTATGTAGAATGTCCTTTGGATCACACCTGAAGATTCTTTCAAACATGAATCCTTATCATCGAATAAAACGAACGTCCACAGCAAAAGTCAACAAGAATATGCTTTCGGTCATTTCGAGAGCTTTACCTAAAAAGTTGCCTTTTCGAGGGGTGCTTTAGTATTGCATTCCGTCGACGGATATCTATGTACTTTACCTTTTTAAACGGCGACTGTGAGAAAATTTGACAATTTTAGCCCTTTCTTTTATGTTGCCTATAAATACTGATATTTACTACCTCAAACGGAAGAACATTCCTTTCCGTTTACATTAAATCCATTTTTGCCTACTATTAGGCTCCGCTGTACGTTTTTTGATGGGCGGCAGAGTGGCCGTATAAGCATTGACATTTTGCTGAAACTTTGTTTTGCACGTCCCATTTCCAAATTACGTACGTGCAGGAGCTAAATCGCACGAAAAGCAAGGTTTCATATGTTCAAAACTGAAAATGACTGTTCGGTGAAAGTCACTTTAGTGAGAAAACATAGAATTTTCCAAATGGTAGAGCGGTTTCGACCCATTTAGACGAAGGACTGCCTTTGTGCATTATTACTGCCTTTATGGCACCAAATCGCATAGAACTGCTAATGTGACTTCTAAGAATCGATAAAACCTGTGTTTCAGCAAACTCACTCCCACGGTTATCATCGAACAAACAATCAATTCGCAAGTGCGACAAGCTCTGTTTAGTGGATTTGTTAAGGGTAAATAAATCTCCTGTCAAATAAAGATACTCTCAGATGTGCAACCGAGTCCTGGGACATGTAATGACATAGGAAATTGCCTGAATATATATATCTCACCGTATTTGATAAACTCGTCTGGACACATCTTCCTTGAAGAAGCTGGACGGGCGAGTAAAATATGCGACGTTTAACACCTCTGAAAATTCTC